GTCGTGGATTCTAGGACTGAAAGAATTCTTGGCCCGGTATGGTGTCTTATGCCTGTAATCCCAGCATTTTGGGAGGACAAGGCAGGAAGACTGCTTGAGCCCAGGAGTTCGAAACCAGCCTGGGCAACATGGCAAAACCCTGTTTCTACAAAAAGTACATAAATTAGCTGGGTGTGGTGGTGAGTGCCTGTATTCCCAGATACTCGGGAGGCTGAGATGGGAAGATCAACTGACCCTGGGAAGTTTGAGGCTTCAGTGAGCCGTGATGACACCACACTATACTCCACTCCAGCCAGGGCGACAGTGAGATGCTGCCTCAAAAAAAAAAAAAAAAAAAAAAAAAAAAAAAAAAAAAATTTTAAAAAAAAAAAAAAGTTGCTTTTTGAAATTTTTTTTTTTTTTTTTTTTTTTTTTTTTTTTTTTTTTTTTGCTGATTTCAGGTAAGCAGTGTGTGCTGAAGACTGTAAAGGAGCCACTTGTTCTGTTTATTTTTCCACTGAACAAGTATTGATCAAAAACATACTTTGTGGCAGGCACTGTGCTAGGAGCTATGCATACAGAAGGAAAACCAAATGTTCTTGGATACTACACTCCAGTTGGAATAAAAAACGAAAAAAGTATTCTTCACGAACTTCAGCATCTTGATGTGCAAAACATAATATATGAATAAGATCTACCTAATTACATAGCATCAGACCAATTATTTCTAGGATTGTGGGCTCATATTTTTAATAACTGGCCTCTTGCCTCTTGCCTATAAAAACTTGACAGGTTTTATAAATATTCATTTAATTACACACAGACACAGACACACACACACACACACCCCTTGACAAATAATGGGCATGAACAATTGACTAGTACTTGCTCTAATTCTTCTAGATGTCACCACAGTGGATCCCAAAGGCAATTATTCAGAAGATGCAAATGGTAAGTTTTTGTGTTTTTTATTTCCTCCTGATCCGAACTTCTCTGGCTTGAAAAATCAGGGAAAGGATTTTGCTAGGTTGCATGCTGCAGAATGAACCTCGTGATATTTTAAATTAGTCCCTCCTTTTCTAGGAGTTGTATTAAGAAACCTAACTACTGCTTTGGGTATGAGATGACTGTGAATCGAAGGGTACAGTGATATGCTTTTAGTTATTTCAAAAAACAGACTTTATTCATCCATTCATCCATGTGTCTTTTTTCTTTCTTTCTTTCTTTCTTTCTTTCTTTTTTTTCGAGACGGAGTCTCACTCTGTTGAACAGGTTATAATGTAGCGACGCAATCTCGCCTCACTACAACTTCTGCCTCTGGAGTTCAAACGATTCTCCTGCCTCAGTTTCTCAAGTACCTGGGACTAAAGGCGCATGCTACCCTGTCCGGGTAACCTTTGTAGTTTTAGCAGAGACTGGGTTTCACCACGTTGGCCAGGCTGGTCTAGAATTCCTGACCTCGTGATCTTCCCCCTCAGCCTCCTGAAGTGCTGGGATTACAGACGTGAGTCACTGCGCCCAGTCTAAAAGTAAACTGTCTTTCATGCACTTCTTGAGGCAACTACATTAAGGAGGACACTTGTCTTAATGAAATTCTACAGTAGATTTCTAATGCTCTTTCTTGGAAGTTTGTTTTTCTGAGAAAAGCTAAAAATATATCATGGAAGTGATCATATTGTATAATCAATGAACTGCTTTTGAAGGAGATCAAACTAATCTGGTCCACATTTGCAACCAATCTTGACTGAGAGAGAGAGAACTCAGGATACACTTAGAGATTTTATTACCGGGAATAGTTGCTTTATTCTTTTTACCTCAATCAATGCATGGAAATAAGTGATAGTCATTTTTATTTATCTTTTAATAAATAAAGTCATCCTAAGGAAAATAAAAAGACCTTGAAAACCCATTAAAATCAGCTCTTAAAGATATTTGGGCATGCAGACATGATAACTAACATTTGCCTTTGCGAGACTTACCCAAAACCCATACCTCAAGTCCATTTTTTTAGAATACATGAAATAAAGATCTCAGTGAGTACATAAAATTGCACACCAGTCATATCCATATAGACAAAAACACATCTACTAGAAAAATAATAAACCCAAACACCAATGTGACTCTGTTTTCCTCTGTTTTAAAATATGTTATCTTTGTATGCATGTTTGCGTCTTCCTTTTTTTAAAAAAAAATCACAGATAAATTCAAGTCTCACCTCAGATTTTATTCAGAGAACTATCAGTGTGGCTTGGCCTGTCTCTTTCTAGTCCCAGAAAGAATTGCACTGAAATGCTGAGCTCCTATAATAAAAAAGACCTTTTACTGAGAGTAATTAACATACTCAAAGAGATTTTCTTAGAGTACACAATGGTGACATTATATTGTCTCTTTATAAATTACTTTCTATCTATTTCTGTGGATTATTTCTACTAAGTAATTTTCAAATGTCCAATTTCTTTTCTTCCCCTACGACTACTGTCTGAATACTGGCTCTGCTGTTCACTGATACGACTCTCAGCAAGTTGCCTGCACTTTTAAAACTGTATTTCCTCATTCAGAACATGGGGCCATACATAATAAAACTCACTTCAGTGTTACTGGGAAATTAAACAAAAAAAATGCATGGGAAGCATTTAACATAGTGCTTGAGACAATAACGAGCACTCAGTAGATATTAGCTTTTGTTAACATTGTTGTTGTTATGTCTAGAAACACTATACCTCCAGAAAATCGTGGGTACTTCCTCGAGACTTTGGGGATATGCATGGTTTGGAAAGGAATGACTGCTTTTTCCTGCTTAGATGAGAAATTTTTCTAAGCCAGACTCCTTCAAACATGTAAGATTCCGTTGTGGATTCTAGGACTGAAAGAATTCTTGGCCCAGTGTGGTGTCTTATCCCTGTAATCTCAGCATTTTGGGAGGACAAGGCAGGAAGATTGCTTGAGCCCAGGAGTTCGAAACCAGCCTGGGCAACATGGCAAAACCCTGTTTCTACAAAAAGTACATAAATTAGCTGGGTGTGTTGGTGTGTGCCTGGACTCCCAGATACTCGGAAGGCTAGGATGGGAGGATCTCCTGAACATGGGGAATTTGAGGCTTCAGTGAGCCATGATGACACCACACTATACTCCACTCCAGCCTGGGCAACAGTGACACCCTGCCTCAAAACAAACAAACAAACAAAAAACCCAAAACTATTTTTTTTTTTTGCTGATTTCAGGTCAGCAGTGTGTGCTGAAGGCTGTAAAGTAGCCACTTGTTCTGTTTATTTTTCCATTGAACAAGTATTTATCAAAAACCTTTTTTGATAAATAAAAAGGCACTGTGCTAGGAGCTATGAATACAGAAGGAAGACCAAATGTTCTTGGAAACTACACTCCAGTTGTGATAAAAAAGGAAAAAAAAACTATTCTTCATGAACTTCAACATCTTGATGTGCAAAAACGTAATATTTGAATTAGCTCTACCTAATTACATAGAATCAGACCAATTATTTCTGGGATTGTGGGCTCATATTTTTAATAACTGTCTTCCTGCCTCTCTGTTGAAAGATTTTATGAATATTCATTTAATTACACATGGACACAGACATACACACACACCCTTTGACAAATAATGGGCATGAACAATTGACTAGTACTTGCTCTCATTCTTCTAGATGACACCACAGTGGATCCCAAAGACAATTATTCAGGAGATGCAAATGGTAAGTTTTTGTGTTTTTTATTTCCTCCTGATCATTTTAACCTTTGAACTTCTCTTGTTTCAAAAATCAGAGAATGGATTTTGCTAGGTTGGATGCTACAGAATGGGCCTAGTGATATTTTAAATTAGTCCCTCCTTTTCTAGGAGTTGTATTAACAAACCTAACTACTGCTTCAGGTATGAGATGGCTATAAATTAGAGTGATATGCTTTCAGTTATTTCAAAAGTTATTTCAAAAAAACAGACTTTATTCATCCATGTGTCTTTTTTGTTTGTTTGTTTGTATTGAGACGGAGTCTTGCTCTGTTGCCCAGGCTGGAGTGCAGTGGCACAATCTTAGCTCACCATAACCTCTGCCTTCCGGGTTCAAGCAATTCTCCAGCCACGCTTCTCGAGTAGATGGGGCTACAGGTGCACACCACCATGCCTGGCTAATTTTTTATTTTTAATGGAGACGGGGTTTCACCATGTTGGCCAGGATGGTCTCGAATTCCTGACCTCATGATATGCCCCCTCAACCCTCCCAAGGTGCTGGGATTACAGGTGTGAGCCACTGTGCCCGGCTTCGTGTCTTTTGTTTTAATGACTGGGGGAAACATGATACCATGTTGCTTCTCGAGTAGTCTTGTTTTAGTCTTTGGTCCTTGCTAGTAGCTAATAACACAAACTAGTGTTTATCAAGTGCTTTTTACACAGAAGGGCTTGTTCTGCATTTTCTACTTTAATCCTCTTAATACTCCTA